CAGGAATACTCTGGCTACCCTCCCTCTGCTTCAGGAAGCTGAAAGAATGTGTAATATCCAAAGAACGAGCAAGAATCTTCTTGTCTTCCTCAAGCAAAACAAGCTCAAGTTCATTCTACATCAGGTTCTCCTTCACCCGAAGTCAGCTTTGCCTCCTGCAATACAGCGATACTCAGGGACAGGATTTGTGTAAGCCCGTTCAAACCACAGGGACACTTCTTAGAGGAAGTCCAACTCTAAATAAATAGTTAAGCTTCAAGATCTTCAGTACTACAATCAATCTGTACAGTCACCAGTATGACACCAAGGGTCCAGGCACAGAGTATTAAGAGCGCCTGAACAGGAAGATGAGAGTTAAGACTAGCAAAGAGAAACAACGAGGGAACGCCAAATCCAGCATTTGCCAGACCTCAGTGAAAGGCATGTTTAGAGGAGGACCAACAGGCAGTGGATCTTGTGCCACGTTAACCAGTTCTCAATTTTAAACCTGCAGGTCATAAGCTATTCAGCAATCAAGCGGCTCAAACAGGCGCCACTTCTACTAGCGACGAGAGTTTAAGCAGATTTCCAAGGCAGAGGAGCCCAGCTAGATGCTGAGGAAGACTCCGAAAGACTTATCTGAGCACGTTCAGGCAGCCCCGAGTCGCACAACGGGCACGTGCATGTTGGGTCACATCCTGGGGGCAGCGCACCCTGCTCCCCTGGTGCGGAAGGACTGCTTTTTGCTCATGTGCCTATTCACAGAAATATGGGAGGGAGGTGCAAGGCCTTCACAAAAGCAAGCGGCTGGAGCAGGCTGCCAAAAGCATTCTGCCAGCCCGAGTCCACTCCCACTTCACCTCGCAGTGTTTAAACAGAAGGGACTCTGGGGAACAGGCTGGAAAACATCTGACATTTCCAACAGACCGCGTTCAGGGTGTAGACCAGAGCAGGTCGCCCTGGTGCTAAGGAGTTAAGAAGTACAATCCAGGTTCAACCGATGCCCCAAAGTGCCCCAAAGGTGTTACCGTCATTTGGAAGGGGAAGTCAAGTCCAACAGGATGAAATTGTCCCCATTCCGAGTCTTTCAGTGATAACGTGTTGCTACAGCTCTCACCTTCTCCTCATGCGAGGGGGTGACCTGCGCCACATCGGTGGTGGCGGCAGCATCCTCCTGGGTGGGCTAAAGCGTCTGGGTGGTGGCCTAGGTCGTGGTGCCAGCACAGCTGTGGCGGTGATCTCCTGACCATCAATCTGGCCTAAAAGGGAAGCACAGGAACAGAAGCAAGCATTTTCCAACACTAACATCTACACATCACGCTCACAGCTTTGTCACAAGCACCTGAAGTGTTAATCAACCTACAGTCCTACTTCCACCCGCTGAGGGGTTATTTTGAAAAAGTCCACGCACATTCTTAATCTAATGTCCCACCAAACTGCAGTTCAGATGTTAACTGGGAAAGGTTTTCACAGAAACATGAAGAATTTTATTACTGTTTATTTTGAAAAAACTCAGTTTTAATAGTTCTGTGATGCTCTGGATCTGTCCTGAACCACACAAAAGCCAAAGCCATTTGGGCTGAAAACAGACGGTACTTCAGGTCAGCTCCCCATCACTGCTTAACTCACTTTCAGAACAAACTCATCTGGTCCAAAGACTTTTAAAAGCACACAGCCTCCTTGCAGCATTTGATACCTACCTCCATCCATGTGTTTCAGGGCTTTCTCAGCATCATCTGGGTTCTCAAACTCCACATAAGCATACCCTTTAGAGAGGTGTGGATTTAGCCTGTCAACTGGCATGTCAATCATTTTAATCTTTCCGTAAGTGGAAAAAATCTCCATGATGTGATCCTGCAGAGAAAGAGCGAGCCTGAAGGACACAGACCACACTTACTGACCATGGCTGGCTGGCGCAGAGTGGTAAACCCACCACACTGGATTAGCTTTAGATCAAAACCCACCACGCTGGATTAGCTTTAGATGAATGCCACCATACTTCATTGGCCAGACATTGAAAGGACGACCACTGCTGCCCCTACTGCTGTCTATACAGTTTCTCCTCAATTGTTCCAAACCTTAAGTTCTACCAGCATTACTGCTGCATGTCAACTCTGGCTACAAAAACACAGCTAGTGTCAAAATCCTCTTGGGGACCTGGAAAGGGAACCTACGCCCTCAGCTGAAAACTCTTAAGGTGCAATTGTTAATATTTTTTTTTAAAATGTCATTTTTCCAGCACCCTAAACCTTTTCCCTCTGAAGACCTTTAAACTACTCACATGTCCTCGCAGCAGATACGCAAGCTTGATACTACAAGGGAGCACACCATTACCTTGGTCACGTTTCTAGTGAGCCTTCCAACATGCACTTTTGTAGGTCTGGGTGACGGGCTCCGCCTCTTCCGCTCTTTTTCATCTCTCTTAGGTGGCTTGGACCTGGTTTTGTCAACAGAAAATGCTTACAGTTTTCAGGGAACGTGCACAACAAACCCAAGAAGCCGGTCACTATCACATGATACAAAAGGTACCATTTTTCTTAGGAGGGCATCTTTTTTTCTTAAGAAGTAATAGGTTAGGAAGTGCTGGGGTGGTGGTGGGGTGTTCCACTTAGAAACACTGCAGGACTTGCATTTGCCTTGACTGCTTTTCTGTTAGAACCTTCTGGAATTTGAAAGCTTTTTTTGTGAGTTTTCAACTTTACTGCAACTATGGTAACAAACACGAAATTTAGCAAACATTTCTCCAAAGTTTTTGGCTATCCTTAAAGAATTTCCCAGCTGTTAAAACAAAAAACATTATTTGCCTCAACAATTAAAGAGGCAAAATGAAGACAAACACCAAAGCCTACCACACCCAGGCAAATTAATGGATCCAATTACTTGTGTTTCTGCATCTTCTGTTCACTACAG